AAGACAACGGAAAATGTTTGCTTTTTCAGAACCTTATGAAAGGACAGTTGCATGAGGCAAAGCAAAAGGGAATAAACTGCAGAAGCTCCGACGGTACAGAGGACACCGATAATGTGTTTACTCCCGGAGACAACAGATGGTCCTCCAGAGTCTTCATTAACAGCAAGGAGTGCAGAAGAAAACGTGACAATCACTGCCGAATTTATAATGAAAGCGCTGAACTTTTCAGAATTGATGAAATACGAGAATACTGCATTAAAAGCCAATTGGGATGCACATATCAGTGAATAGGTTGAAGCAGAGAGGTACAAGAGTCCAACAGAATACATCATGTTGTTAGCGGCAAGTAAGAGTCCCAAAGCAAAATATATCAGAACGATAATTTTGATGGAAGGTGGAGCAGAAGAAGTAGAAGCCTCAGGAGGTGACGGAATCAGAAAGAATGGAACGTACAAGAGTGGGAAGGCAACAGTTTGGACTAAAGTAGCCATCCATGTACTATTTCCACCCTGATCATAATAAAATCTACCGAGGATAACTGCACCTGATTGGCCCACAATGAGAAAGGCTATGCAGAGTGCCACCAAAAACCACCATTGCCAGCGCTCATACTTACTAAATGATAATGCAGAAATTGTTATATCTGTGGGATTCGGTTCTTCGTTATCTGTAGTCAGGAGCAACATTAAAAATTTTAGTGTCTTCTTTTATTAGTTGAAAAATAATCATGGGAACAATGGAAATGAAAGAAAACATAAGCATTTAAACCCAATGCATAAGTACATAACTAAAGCTTATGCATTTAATTGAGTATTTGATTATAGGTATGTCAATGTTGATTCAAATGGTGAATGGCATTATATGCATGTAAGATGGAAAGGTAAAATATTGGACAAACAATTGTAATGCACTATGTCCAGACTTGTATACACGCAAAAACATATGAAAGCTTCTGGTTGTAACATGAAAGGTTCATATACCAACACTTATGTACACATCAGCCTTTCCAAATAAAATTTCATAAATTAGATTTTCTCTATTGGTAACTAAAAGGAATGCACATACTTGAACACAAATCAAATTCTGAATAGCAGTTATACAGAAAAAATGAAACATATAATACAGCATACTTATAGTAGCTCACATTGACATAGATTTGAATAATCACAGCTGTTATATATCCATATATTATACTGCAACTTAATTGAAGTTTTCTGATATGCTATTACAAAATAATGAACTTCCAACACAATGTTCACTTCCTTGAAAGGTTTACTGCTGTTATTTTCCACACGTCAAAAATGATTATAGGGAAGGTATAGAATACAAAAGACTCCATAACTGCATATTTTTAACCACTATTTGGTATTCTAATGGACTTAGTATCCTAAATAGTCAATAAACAAATCTTCTCAACACAGCTTAAATGCTAAAAGTAAATTAATTTCTAACTTCATTATTTCTGTTGGGTTCCTTTAACATTTCTATTTTCATATTCAATCACACAAATTTATGGAGGTTAACTTCCAAACAGAAGACAAGATATCTTCCCGAAGGTATAGAGTGACAAGTATATGTTAATTGCAAGTTTGGATGACACAGCTGGGTCCTACAGTATTATATCTTCCTCAGTCACAATTATCCCATCAAACACATTGCAGCCTAGTGAAGCATAAACATAGGAATAGAACTTCTATCAATTTTCTTTCATTCTTTTTTGTTTCAAATGTTTATAATAGAAATGGGCCAGAAGAAAGTAACAAAAATAGGAACCTTATTGAATTGAACCCCTTAATCCCTAGTTCTGGACCAATGTGATGAACAAAAAGAGATCAAGGATGAAGAATACAGAAATGCAATATATGTATGAAATAGATGCAATAGATGCCCTCTCTTTATATATCTAAAATTTTCTTTAATTTAATTTAGCATTTTAGATATAATGTAATTTAGCTGCCAAGTCACTAACTCCACCTGTTCTGTTATTTCGGTCGTCAATAAATCAGGGCTAACCTCCTACTCTAACTCCTATTTGTCCTAATGTAAACCCCGTGTCTTGAAGCTGGCTCCTACAACTAAGGTGCTGCACACATCGCTACTGCAACCAGCAATTGGAGATTCAAGTTCAGCAAGTTCTCTTTGCAGCTGTGTAACCGTTTCTCTTATGGCAAACTGCAGGATCAAGTTCCTAAAGTTTTGCTTCAACCAAGGACAAAAAAATCCTGATATGCTTCCAGGCCTTAGAATTTCAAGCCATAGTAGGTAGAATTCCAACATGCGAAGATGTATTTCTTACACCAACTTGGTATGTATAAAGGAAGCTCCACAATCAATCAGAATTGCTACCTTCCTTTCTCTGACTGCCCCCTATGTCTTAAGTGTGTGTTTGGATGAGTTATTTTTAGGGGAATATAACTGATAAGGGTATTTAACATGTTTATCTATTGCTTCTGGTCAAAGAATTTTAAAATATCTTAGGAACTTAGCTATTCTTTAACCTAGAAACATGTATTTGAAATGCCACATCACGAGGTGAAATTTTGAAATCCACCATAAACCTAAAATTATAACACTCTTTTCTCACTCCACCTCCCATGTTTATCGTTCTTCTACAAGATTTCTGGCACCTCAATTTCGTGCTTCTGATGCAAGCATCCATCAATAATCGTCATTCAACTTCTTCTTCCCTCTGCCACATCAATTCAATCCCCTGTCACATCAATTCCTGTAAGCTCCTTTATTCAATTTCCACGTCAATTTCCCCTGGCTGCAGCAATTCAATTTCCACCGAAATGCCCACGAAGAACACAAGACTCGTGAAGTGAGTGGTCAACACAAACCAAACAAAATCAAATCATCTCATCATCCTGCCCGTACTCATAATGACCGCCCAGAACACAGGACTTGAATCTAATGCCACGTCCACCTACAGTCATGCCACTAGACTGAGGGCACCTGTTCCATCTCAATGCCATGACTGGTCAACACCTTCCGACCACTAGGAATCAAATTTGCAACCGGGCAAGCAAGGTCCAGTCCAAATGACTGTCAGTCATGCTCAAAAGGCCAACAGGACATGGCCGAGTCAGCACCTGCAATGCAGGAAAACCTTCTCACGCGCCAAAGGATAAAATAACGCCACTCGTAATGACGAAAGCACATATCTTGGAGTGAACCTCCCTATAGATAGAAGGAGCCGCCCATAAGAAAGATACACTTACTCTCACTTTACTTTCTCTCTCTTAAAGCATAAACTTTATGTTGACTTGAGCGTTGGAGTCCCTTTTTACCCAAGGTGGTCCAATGCTGCCTATTGCCTGGATTGAAGAAGGGGATCCAGTTTCCGACCAACCTTTTCCACACTAAAGAACAAATTCCAATCCCCAAATATGACTCAAAATGTTCTAGACACTCCACAAAAGTCGTCCGGGGTAAGGGAATCAGGATAGAAGGACATTCGGTAATACTGACTCCAGTACCATATAGTTTGGTGAAGAGACATTATCTTAAATCTCATCTCCTCCCTCTCTTCAAAGTTCAACAGTTATAAGATTAAACTAAGACACTAATAAATAAGAAAGATAAGAATAACCTGATCATTAGTAACACAATTTCTACCAAGTAATACTAATTGTACAAACGGTTGAGAAAAGTGTGTTGCTAGCATTATTCCAAATTAAGTAATACCCATATTCTAAATTAAAGATAGAATTAAATAAATAAAAAAATAGTTAAAGATAAAAATATAAGAAATCAAAGTATCATATGCACAAAGCTATCACCTCGTGTTATAACAGTAAAACTCCGGTCGAGTGTCTGTTTTTTAATTTGAACATGTGACCTTTTGCGTCGATATAAAAATATAAATAACTAAACAGTAGTCTCGTTTATTATAAGACACTTTCAACTAAATTATACAAAATATCTAAGGCGTGATTCTATCATCTTTTTTTAAATTAGGAGCAAGAAACAGATGATGATTAAATTTTAGTGTTTTCTGCAGAGACATGACAGAACACAATATGGCGTTTTGTTCAAAATTAAAACAAAAATCCAAAGCAAAAAAGAATACAGAATCATAAACAAGTAATGGAAATGGAAATAAAGAAGAAAGAAAAAAGAAAAAGAGAGAGGTACCAGCCATGTTATGAAGAAAGGGAACAATTTGTTCTTCCACGGAGAAGAAAGGGTTTGAAGATGGAATTGATATTAACAAAAAGTGGTTAGAGAGGAATTTCAAAAGCATTCGAATTGGATTCACAGCGTATATATAAAGATAATAACAATTAACAAATTTTCTACTTCACTGGGATTCTATGGGTACTTTTCCCTTTTTTATTTATAGCATAAAATAATAAGTTAATTACACTCACAGCCTTAAGTGTTAGTGAAATTATACAAATTATTCATTCTTTTTTGTCTTTACACACAAGATTGTTGTGACCGGACCGGCCGGTCCAACCATCACCCACTTATGTAGACGGTTCCATACATCTAAAAAACCGGAGAGTCTTTCCAGTCATTTTAAGCCGTGGAAAAACCGGTTTAACTTGGTTGGTTAAACCGGACGGTTATTAAACCGGTCAGGGTACTGGTATAGTGATATAGTGGTTCAACCGTTGGTTCAGTAATTAAACCGGACATACCTGCTTGTATTTATATATATGTAAACGTATAATAATTTTTTTTATAATAAGTTAATATTCAAATTTATAATTCATATTCATAATCTTTCCAAATTCACACCAACAAACAACCTTAACAAAATCAAAGTCTAGAGTGGAAAATATATATCAATCCAAAAATATCACTTAACAAACGCAAAATATAAAAATGACACAAGTTCATAACTCAATCTACAAAACATACAAATTTAGAATTTTAACATTTAACACCAAAGAGTCAAAGTTGTCTCATATCGATGTTCTATTTCTTCATCATTTGACCCTGAAGCTTGACTCACATTGTCTTCATCTAGGTTAACATTCTCCATGGGGTTGAGTTGTGCATCATCATCGTCTTCTAAGTTTAATTGATCTACAACAATGTCATTTTTCTTACAGGTTAGAAATTATTTAAAATGAACACTCAATCATCAGAAAATAAAAAACATACCATTGTCATCAAGTGATGGTTGGATAGAAATATTTGCAAGGTCATTTCGTAAAGCCTCAATCTCTTCAACGGTTAGGAACGGTGGTGACTCCTCTAGTATAAAATGAGAATGATCCTCAAATATTTCTAAATTTATTGGGTCATAGTTTTGATGCCTCAAGTGACTCCTACATTTATTGATTTCATTATATACAAACATAAATACATGTTACATATGAATATATAAAGAAAGACAACTAATGTAATAAAATGACAATACCTTTGTTGTAGCCTCAAGTTGTAACGAACAAAAACAAGATCATTAAGTTTTTGATGCTCCAACCGATTTCTTTTATTAGTATGAATGTGTTCAAACACACTCCAATTCCGCTCACAACCGGAAGCACTACATGTTTGACTTAGAACGCGGACTGCCAACTTTTGCAGATTTGATGTACGACATCCATAAGTTTCCCACCATCTACAACATTGAATGAAATCTAACTCAACATCTTATTTATTATTAAACATTTAAGACAATTAGTATAGACATTAAAGACAACTACCAAATATAAAAGACTAATTATACCTGCATCACTTTACTCCGTTCACGTATGGCAGCCGGTCTTTCAAAATCAAATTCAGCATCTTTATATATTCTCATCTCGCTAGTTACTTATCTAGCAAATCAGGATCTCCATGAGCATGTTTCCCAGAAACATCCAAAAGACCGGATGTTGTGAACTTATGTTTTTCAAATTCTTCAACATTGAAGAAACATTGTGGGTTGAGCCAATATCCAACAGCATGTAAATTTCTTTTTAATTGTAAGTCCCACCGACTATCCATAATTTCCAAATAAGGTTTTATTTTAGTCTTATTTCTTTGAAACCTCTTCTCCATCTCATGTCTAGCTTTAAAGAATGCTTGATAAAGAAAACCCATTGCAGGCTTATCCTCACTGTCAACAATACGTAACACACGAACAAGTGGTTCAGTAATTTTAACAATGTCAGCACATTGTTTCCAAAAGTTTGAATCCAACACTTGTTCCACGCATTTTTTTGCCTTAACATCTTTGGAATAAGCTGAGCTTGTCCATTCTCTAGATGTTACAAGAGCTCTTAGTGCATCCTTTTGGGCCAATATACTTTGTAATGAATTAAAGTTAGTGGCAAAGCGAGTTGGAGTTGGACGAAATATTTCTTTCCCATTAGTGAATTGTCTCATTAGATACAATGGATGACAATGATTATATAGGTACTTGGTAATATTTGCAGCATGTGATATTGTGTCAGTTACTTCTGGTAATTTTCTGATGTCTTGAAACATCAAGTTAACACAATGAGCCGCACATGGAGACCAAAACAAGTGAGGAAACTCTTTCTCCAATAACCTACCAGCAGCGACATAATTAGCAGCATTGTCTGTAACAATATGAACAATGTTCTCAGGACCGACATACATCACTACCTCCTTGTAAAGTTTGAACAACAAATCTACAGTTTTGGAAGCATGTGAAGCCTCAACAGACTTTATGAAGACAGTTCCTTTAGGACAATAGACGAGAAAATTAATAAGAGTTCGTCTGCTACGATCAGTCCAACCATCTGCCATAAGAGTGCATCCAGTTCGCTTCCAAATAGATCGATAATCATTTACAAGTATTTTCACATCTTCAACCCACTTGTTTACTAAATGACCACGAACACGGTAATAGTTGGGACCTTTATAACCCGGACCCAGGCTACAAAGGGCATCAATCATGGGCTGATAATATACCGAGTTAGTTGCGTTAAACGGCACAGAAGCATCAATCATCCATTTTGCGATAGCGAGATCACATTTCTCAATCACTTCTTTACTTTGCATGACACTTTGTAAAGTAAGTTGAGCACCAGGTGTTGTTCTAGGCATAAAGTAAGAGCCTATGCGACCTTTCCCTTTCTGAGATGTAGATGTACGAGGTCTTTCAATTGATTAAGTGTGCAATAAATTAGTAACTTCATCACAAGGATTACCATCCTCGAATTCATCTTCTACTTTTTCTTTTTTTGCTCTTCATTTCATCAATTGATTTTTGGACCTGATGTTTATAACATCCCAAAATTGCAATTCCTGAATATAGTGGATATCAGGAAGTCTGGGAGCTACTGGGCAATTCTTGCTTGAGCGAGAGGACCTCGCCCAAGCGAAGGGCTCAGTGTTGTTCCCAGGTATTTTCCTGGAATTCTCGCCTGAGCGAGATGGAGCTCTCTTAAGCGAGAGAGAGGTGTGGCTACTGGAAGAATCTCGCCTGAGCGAGATGGAGCCTACTTAAGCGATAGAGAGGTGTAGCCACTGGAAGAATCTCGCCTGGGCGAGAAATTGTCGCCCAAGCGAGAGCATTAGTTCCTGAATGATGCGAAGAATCGTGGGTTCTCGCTCAAGCGAGCCTACCCTCGCTTGAGCGAGAGTCTAAAATCTGAAAACCTAAAATAGACGTCCCAAGTGAGGATAGAGTGTTATTTTTCGAAAAACAAGAGAAGATGAACGGTTTGAGGAGTTGTGCACCCTTAGAGTCAGAGAGGAGACCAGAGAAGAGGTAAATCGCTTAACTTAGCCTCTCTTAGGGTTGGATGTCTTGTTTTGGATAGGGTTTCTTCTCCATGTTTAGGGATAAAACCCCATAAACCCTCTCTTTACTTTTCGGTTCGTTTTGCTTTGGAAAACCTTGTAAAACTCATAGAGTATGAGTTGTTTTTCGAAATGGGTGTGTGTGGGAAGTTGTTTTCGTGGTATGGAGTTAGACCTGCCCTTCGTGGTATGGAGTTTGACCTGCCCTTCGTGGTATGGAGTTTGACCTGCCCTTCGTGGTATGGAGTTAGACCTGCCCTTCGTGGTATGGAGTTTGACCTGCCCTTCGTGGTATGGAGTTTGACCTGCCCTTCGTGGTATGGAGTTAGACCTGCCCTTCGTGGTATGGAGTTAGACCTGCCCTTCGTGGTATGGAATTTGATCTGCCTTCGTGGTATGGATTTTGGGTATGCACTTGTAGTGTGGGTTTCGACTGCGGTTCGAATGATGGACAGTTGATTTATATGATAGATGAGTGGCATGATTATGATATAATGGGATATGGAATCTCTTGGATGTGTTTGTGTTGTAATGTTGTGTAGTTCCTGCGTAGTAATGTTCTAATTTTATTATTATATTTAAAACCACCATGTTATATATTGCATGTATTTAATGACTGACTCTCTCTATGTTGTCTTTTTTACTCAATCCGTGGTAATCGGATTGTAGGTGGAGCAAAGGATTAAGAGACTGCAGAGTCATGAAGTAGTTACATGGCATTTGGATTTAGTGTGTGTCTACTAGTTACTCTAAGGATTTGTAATTGTTGACATTGGACCCTTTTATGGGAATTTTATCCATGTTTTGTTGATTAGTTAATTTAACTAATGGTTTTTCTACTATCGCTCTATCTATACTATATGGAGTATTTTCTTGTTAAAGTGAAGGTTTTAAATGATATGGGATTTTATTATGTTAGAAAAGATTTGAATTTTTCCGTGTTAGTAATTTGAGGCGTTACAAAGTTGAATATTTGCTGGTACTTTCTTACACTTTTCAACTTGTCCTTTTACTCCAGCCAAATGTGCCTTAAATCGAGTGATTCCACCCGTTTGATTTGTTTCATACAGAAAAGACATAATAGAACTGTTCTTCCATTTTCCGCAACAACTTGTTTACAATGCGCCCAAGCTGGATATGATTTCGTCCTATAACTACTTGTAGAAGTATTTTCCGTTGATGCTTCTTGTGATGTTGGTAATTCAGGTTCATTAGATGCCATGTATTTTTACAATATAAGCAGTTAAGAACAATTAAAAACAATTCCGTTATTCGTAAGCATCAAAATAATAAGCATTTGAGGTTGTAGTACATTTAAGGTTTTATGTTAACTATGAATGAAAATAATAAGCATTTGTTCAAGATAGACACTATACCAAACATGCACTTGTCAGCGAAAAATATCTCACAAGATAAATTAACACAAGTTGATAATAAGAACTTTCCTAGAGACCATTGGATACAATATCTATATGCAATGTTGGAGCTCAACACCTTTTTGGACATATCATCAGTCAAAAGAATAAGCTAGCTTGTAGTTTAATACTTGACATGTCTAGCATAATAATCTTTCTCAATTCTGTGCATCTTTGGAAGCAGAAAAACACATTAGTTTAAGGATGTAAAGTGTAATGCTCTTTTTTTAGACTGGCAAAACACTGAATCTAAGGCAAACGATGTTCCATATAAAGATTTAGGTGGCCTTGAATAAGTAAAACTCTTACAAGTTTAGATGATACAGATAAAAAGAAACTACATTATCATGTAAAAGAAACATTGTACCAAATAATATATCAAAACTGGGACATGTCTAATTCTACAAAGCATTGAATTTAGCCCACCTAAATCATTTCATACTTATGTCATAAACTATCCAAGTAAGCTGAAATTTTCAAGTGCTCAGCATTTAGCATTCACAATTGCAGAGGGTACATTGCATGAGCACCTTTGGTACTTCTGTGACCATAGGAATAGTAAAAAAAAAATATGGCATAGAAGACCTCAACCATTCAAATAGCAAATAAAAGCATGCCAGTTCAGGGACTACTAAAAAATAGCTATATGCATGTTTATCACAAGATTAATATATTAAATTAGCAGTCCCTAATCCAAGTCTGAAATGTCTCAATGACAATAAAGAGCATTTCACATAAAACCGTTATTGTATAAAAATTAATCTTACTGTACAAAGAAATTAAAAAGAAAATCAGAAGCAACCAAATATTGACAAATTCTTTGAGGCTTATTTATGGCCTTGAATCCAGAAAAATCCGACATCCTTTTTCCCTCACACCAATGTGAGTACAACAACTAAGCCATATTCCTAATTGATCATATAGACAATCCAGGTATTAAACTTGGAATACATATAATATTCCAGAAGCAAGTTATGGAATAAATCTGCAATAGCTAAACAGTTGTTGGCTTTGGCAAAAAAAGAGAATAAATCTTTGTGCTTCAAATACTTAAACAATTAAATGGATTGAAACATTGCATAAGGATAGAAAATTTTCCAATCTTCCTAAAATGACCCAGGTTTTTCTTCTCCCCTGACCCACATCATGCATTCATGCCGACACTAATAATTTGGGGAGGAACAGAGCATAACAGTAGCAACAAAATTCAGTGTCATTTTAAAAAAGGAAAAGGAGAAAATTAGTAATTGCATAAAATTTAGAAACAATACCTGATAAAGAAACAAAGTGTTGGTAATTGGTAGTTGGTAATGCTTAGAGGTGCAATGATATGAGTGAGAAAAGGTTGAAGAAAGGGT